CAGAGGAACTGGTTGGCCCCTGTGTGAGACGGGAGGCTGGACTAGATGGACCCTCACTGGTCTGATCCAGCAGGGCTCCTCTGAGGTTCTTCTCAGGGGAAGGCCTTGGCCTCTGTGCCCTGTTGTTGGCCCTCCAGAGGAACCGGATGGCCACTGTGTGAGACGGGAGGCTGGACTAGATGGATCCTTCCTGGTCTGACCCAGCAGGGCCTCCCATCTCACACAGTGGCCCAACCAGTCCCTCTGGAGGGCCAACGACAGGGCAGAGAGGCCGAGGCCTTCCCCTGATGTTTCCTCCAGGCTCTGGGATTCAGAGGTTGACTGCCTCTGAACGTGGATGTTCCCCTCAGTCACCATGGCTGGTAGCCACTGAGAGATTTATTCTCCATGAATCTATCTAATCCCCTTTTAAGGCTGTTTATTCCTGTGGCCATCACTAAATCCTCTGGCAGCGAATTCCACATTTTAATCACTCTCTGTGTAAAGGTGTATTTCCTTTTTTCCATCCTCAACCTACTGCCCATCAGCTTCACTGGATGCCCTCGAGTTCTAGCATTTTGGGAGAGGGAGAACAAGTCCCTCTCCACCCCAAGTGTAATTTTATCATCCTCTTTCATGTCCTGGGGTGGTTTGTGTATGCAAAACCTCGTCCCCTTCTGGAGAAACGCAGACCCGGAAGCCTCTCCTTTTGCCTCGTCTGCCGTTCACAGATGCAGAGATGGTGCTCAACGCGGACAACCAGGCCCTGCCGATCGCCGACTTTGATGCACCCCACCTGCTTCAGCCCACGGGATCTAAACCCCTCCCTCCAGGGGCCAGGAGGTAGGGCAGGCTAGACGTCAAACAGAATGAAACAGAAAATATAACAAAATATAACATCCGTGGTGGCAGATCTACAGATCTGTAAAAAAATGTCCAAATACCTCAAAGTATGTCCGTGTGCAGTTTACATCTATTTGCCACGCATTCGAATGTTGATAAGGGTGTGAGGTCCTCAGTCCATTGAATAACTGCAGATGGGCGTTTATTTTTCCATTGTTATAATAAAAGTCTTTTGGCATCAGTAAGAGTATGGCGGCCTTAATGTTCCCTCTAAGGTGTGGAGTCTTGTGAGCAAACATTCTACTTTGTGAGCTCCTGGCATCAAAGTTGTGAGCGGGCGATTTGGCTCCTGCATAAACTACTTTGCTCTGGAGCCGCCTTTTCTGAGCAAAGACAAAAATGTGTGAGCCAGAAGCTAAAAAACCTGAGCTAGCTCACACTAACTCAGCTTAGAGGGAACACTGACGATTCGGCGGGTCCATTTTCATTGACCATCAGTCTCCAGGAGATAGCTCAAGATGGGCAGCCGTGTTAGTCTGTCCGTAACAGTAGAAAAGAGGAAGAGACCAGTAGCACCTTAAAGGCCAACAAAATTCTGGGCAGGGTAGGAGCTTTTGTGAGTCACTAGTACCAATGTTCCCTCTAAGCTATGGAGCCCTGTGAGCAAAAATTCTACTTTGTGAGCTATTGGCATTAACATTGTGAGCAGGAGATTTGGCTGCATAAATTAGTTTGCTCTGGAGCCCCATCGTTCCTGAGCTAAAACAGAAATGTGTTAGCCAGAGGCTACAAAACTTGTGAGTTAGCTCACACTAACTCAGCTTAGAGGGAACACTCGCTACTCACTTCTTCAGATACCTTCGGTAGGCCAGCAATAGACCATCATACAGCTTGTGTTGAAGATCAGGCGGGCAGAAGTATGATAACCAGTCCCGTTATACTTGATGGCGACAACTCCCATCTGCACCATAAGGTGATTTGAGGGCAGTTTGGGCAGTTCTGAAGTATGTGATATACCTCCTCCTGGATAGCCGCTGCCAGTCTTGGGTAAACTGGACTGACTGTATAAAAGCACTTCACGCGTTCAGTATATCCAGTTGCCCCACTGGTCTGCCTAGTGTTGCAGACGACAGGAGAGGCCTCGATCCTGGGATCTCCTTAGTGTTCTGGAAGCGATGTTCTGCCTGCCAAGTATGTGTCTGGTGATAGTCGGTCTCTAGTGTGATCAGACATGGCTGCCCAGGGTGCCAGCGAATGCGGGAAGCGACACAACCCTGTTGACTCTGCTTTGGTTAGACCTCACCTAGGGTACTGTGTTCAATTTTGGGCACCATAATCGAAGAAGGATATAGACAAGCTGGAACGTGTCCAGAGGAGGGCAAAGAAGATGGTGAGGGTCCTGGAGCCCATGTCCCATGAGGAAAGGTTGAAGGAACTGGGTGTGTTTAGCCTGGAGAGGAGATGACTGAGAGGTGATATGAGAACCGTCTTCAAGTACATGAAGGGCTGTCCTATAGAGGATGGGGCGGAGTAGTTTTCTGTTGCCCCAGAAGGTCGGACCAGAACAATTAGA